TTATTCTAAGTGGTATATTTATAGATTCCAAAGCTTTTTCTGATGGACCCTTATGTTCTTGGCAAATAACGAGAGTTTTATACCCTCCTTTCCAATCTTTAAGCCTTTCATTTCCTTTCCTGGCCAAGTTGTTCTGTGTAGGGTGCCGGACAGACCTGGAAGAGTGGGCGTCCCTGCCTCGGTCCTGCCGGGAGAGGGAAGGCGTCCAGCCCCTCCCCGCGAAGGCTGGCGTTAGTTTTAGGGTTTTTGTTGATCCCTTTTATCAGGCTGAGAAAATTCTCCTCTTTTTCTAGTTTGCCAACTGTTTGTTTGTTTGTTTTTTACCACGAATGCGTGTTCAACGTTGTCAGATCTTTTTTTTTTCATCTATTGAGACGATCACTTGGGTTTTCTCTTCTAGTCCCAGGTGGGGCAAAAGTAGGTTTGCAGTTTTTTGTGTGGAAAATAATACAGTAATTAATAAATCAACATACAAGAATAAACTCTCTGTCTCACGTACTTGCAACTGCAGACCCACCTTCGCCGCACCTTGTGTGTTAATATGTAAGTTACACTGTTTGCTTTTCAAATGTTAAACCAACATTCTCTACCCTTCCCTGGGCAAGCCCCACCTGGTCATGATATGTGACCCCTTTTATTGTACTTGCTGAATTCTGTTTTCTAAAATATTTAAGGCTATTTGGCCGATATTTACGTTGGACGTTAGTCTGCAGTTTTCTTACGTCTTTTGTCTGGCTTTTTAGGGTCATGCCGAGTTCCTCTAAGTTGGTCAGGTCAGTGTTTCCTCTCTTTCTTTTCTCTTTTTTTCGTGAGTCAGGAGCGTAGACGATGCCTCCCTTTCGCGTCTCTGCATTCTCGATCGCCAGTGTCCCGCAGACGGCAGGCCATCCTCAGCGCTGGCCCATCCCAGCTTTCTGTGCACCCGTGGCACCGTTGGGAGGGCCAGGCCTTGACCCTGCGCAGGGGTTTGCGTCCCCGTGGCCTCCGCCACCTCGGTTCTGGCCTAAGGAACAGGCCGCCTGCCCACAGGGAAATAGGTTCTCTTCTTCTGGGGCGGGCTGGTTGCCCCCCGGGAGGCTGAAGGTGCCGTGGGGCTTTGGTTCCGACCGTTCTGCTCACCTAGCTCCTTGCCCTCCTTCTGCACTGGCTGTGGGGGGCTCGCTCTCTCGTAAGCTGGGGAACAGAGGTGCACATCAGAGCCGAACATCCGAACATCCGGCCTGCCCTACAGCTTCCCCTTGGCCTCTGCCTCTGCCCCGGGGCCAGGATGCTCCATGAGGAGGGGCCTCCCGGCTCTGCATGAACTTGCCGGGATGGAGAGAGTGGTTCTCTCGACGGCTTTCCCTGTCCCCTCACCGCTCTGCGGGACCACTGAGGTGCTGCTCCCGCCGGTCCAGAGCTGCCTGCTGAGCAGCACCTGGACCCATTCTTTATTTTTATTTTTTTCATTTTAAACTATATGGTATGACTTGGCCAAGCTCTTCATATACAGCAGCTCATAAACTCCGCATCCAGAACACATTGGGGGAGGTGTTATTTTATGGGGAAGACTTAGGTGATATCCCCCAGTTCACACAACAGGTAAGTGCCGTGTTCTGAGACCAGAGCTTGTGGTCTTACCGTCCTCCCCAGGCTGAGTGGCCGGGGACCCCCCCCCCGGGCCCCATCCGTCGGCGTCACTCAGAGGGTGGGTGTGGCAGAGCCGGCCTCGTACCATCTCTGGGAGTGCTTCACCCAGGCTGACCTCTCTGGCCAGTAGCGACGGGGTCAGCCGGGGTTTCTAAAGACCATGAGACTTCCGCTAGTTTGCTGGACAACGTTTTCACGTCCTGCAGCAGGACTCACCCCGAGCCAGGCTGCGCTGAGAGACACCTTTGCTCCTGTTCTGGAATTGCATTTGGGGAAGACAAACACTTCCTCTTCGGTTGACAGTTTGGCCACCTGTGAACAGTCGGTCGATGTCCCTTATGTTCCCTTGTTTGTGTTCTGTGTAACTTTCCCGCTGACGCTGGTCCACCCAGCGAGGGCAGCGGAGGTCACGGGTGCTCGCTCCTCTCAGCTGCGCAATGAAGGCCTGTCGGCCGGCCTTCTCCGTGTGGTCTGTGCTCCCAGTGCTGCTCCTCTGTTTATTTATCGGCAGCATCCGGAGAGTCCTGTGCCCCATCTCGAACTCCGCACGCTCATATCTCGCTGTAGCAGGTTGGAGTCGGGGTTGGAGCTGGGATAGACTTTGCGGCCCCTGCTGGAGGCAGTTGGTCCCATTTTACAGACGGGGAAATGGAGGCCACCCGGCAGACCGAGGATGGAAACGGGCTCCCGGCGCCCAGGCCGCTCTCCTCCCTGCTCTCCCATGTGGCTGCCCCAGGTGGACAGACCCTGGGGCCACCTTCTCTAGTTTATGGGAGAAAGCAGCTAGTTCCCGTTTTTTAGCTGGAAAAACCCATGTTTATTTTCAAGCCCAATGTGAGCAAATTCCCCCATGCTTGTTTGGAAGTCAGCAAGAGGAAGTGAGTTAATGGTCCTTAGTGGCAAGACTAATAATTGTCTTTCTCATGAGGATCTCAGATCCGCTTCCCTGGGGGTTGCTGGCCTGGTCGGACTGAGACCTGCCTTGGCCTCGCCCAGGAGGCGGAGCTGAGGACGCCCAGAGGGCTGTTTACAGCGGCGTCTGGGCATGTTCCCGGTTCTGGGATGGGAAGGAATGTTCCTCTCCCCTTATTTGTATCTCCCGTTGGAGTAACTTGGGAGACACACCAGTTAACCGCAGCCACCTGGAGACCTGGGCGGGCGGCAGACACACGTGGGCCAGTATTAAGTAAACAGAGCTGCGGCTTTGCTCAGATTTCCCTGTTATTTATACTCTCTATTAAGAAAACTTGGTGTCTATGGAGAAGCCATTTAAAGTCAGTGAGCCTTGGTTTCCCTAAATATAACCCGGGGCCAGTGTCTGATTTTCCATTTCCACAGGAAGAAGGAAAAGTAAAAACAAGGTCGCGTGTGAGAGGGTGTGAGACAAAGGTGGTAAAAACGGGGCCGCGTGAACTCGCTGAATGAGTTTTTCTTGCCTAGAAGTTGCAGATGTTTTCCTGCACCTTAGAAAGTCTCGCTCTGTAAAGGACGGCAGCTTCCAACCCTGAGATAAACACAGGTCTTTCCAGCTAAAGCGGGAACTAGCTGCTTTCTCCAAGTGGCCGGGAGGGCAGCTTCCAACCCTGAGATAAAGGGGCTCAGAGCCAGTGTCTGGGACAAGAGGGGCCCTTTGTTCGAGGTCTGTCGCTCCAGGAGGAAAGCTCGAGAGAGGCAGGCTGGCCCCCAGGGCCCCTGTGCCCCGTGGCATTGAGTTGGGTTACTGAGCTCCCTGGTGGGGACACAGCCATGGGGGGGCCAAGGGCACAGCCTACAGACGCTGTGGTGCCCACGGGAGGCCTGTGGATGTGCCGCCCTGAGAGCCACAGTGTCACAGCTGTCCCTGCGGCCTGGCCTGGGGAGCAGCTGCCCCCTTGCAGGGAGGAGGCACACGAGTGAGTGTGAGTCTGTGCGCCCGTGTGTGCACATGTGCTAGGGGCGCTCAGGCCCTGGGGTAAGTGGGGGCGGTGTCGCAGGCCAGAGCTGTGCCCTAACCGCTGGGCTCGTGTTGCGAATCCTGAGGGCGCCTGTCACAGGGCGTGTGAGTGTGAGGGGGACCCATCGGTGCTTCTCAGACCGTCCGTGGTGACGGGTTTCTTTTCTTTGTGTTTCTTCTCCATCACGAGTCAATTCTTTTGTACAATGTGCTAAAAAGGAATCATTACCAAAATGCAATAAAAAGACAGAGTTCCAGTCCTAATTTAAAGTTTTCCGATGCACCAGGCATCACATCCCTCCATGAAGGTTTTTGAGAGCTTCCTGCCAGGTTCCGCGTGGGGCCGGCGGTCAAGAGCGGCCGGCAGAGTCTGCGGTCCCCCCAGCGAGCTTTGTGCAGCGCCGAGCCGGGCCCACGGCCAGGCAGAGACGAGAGAGAAAGGAAGGGGTGTGGGTCCCGGCGGCAGACCAGCCTCAGGGCCCTCCAGCCTGCCTGGGCCAAGAGGGGCTGGTTGGGGAATATCAGCAGGTGGCAGGGATTAGGGTCTAGAGTCACAGGCTCAGGTTGTACTGCTGGGTCCACACTGCCTCTGCCACCTCCTGTGCCAGCAAAACGGGTGTCCTGGGACCCTGGGTCTCTGGGAGCTCCTGTCTGAATAAGGTGCCCTGGGCCCGTGCATCTGTGGGTTGGAAACTAACCCTTCGCTTTGCTGGGAGCCCCATGTGGCTGTGTGGCAGCTTTGTCTGAAGGTAGCTTCAAAAATGCCCACCCTGTGGGGCTCGCTAATTACAGTGTGTATTTTTATACAGGAAATTATGATCGTTTGACCCCCTCCCCCATATCAAGGTCCCTCTTGTGCCTTTGGCAACGGCGTCCAGGTTGGAATGAATGGTCAGGTGTGGTGGAACACTGCTGTGAGGACAGACCGTGGCCTCTCGTGGCCTGTGGTAGCCGTGGGGTCCGTGCCTTTGCCTTAATCCCTTTTCACAATATCTTTTAAGTCGGTAACATCTGATGGGCGTCTCGTCAGGAGCAGCCTCAGCCCTGCCCTCGAAGGCGGCGTTTCGGGAAGGGGTGCTTCTCTGTGCCGCGGGGACACCGGGGAGGGGACCTGGCGGAGAGGGGTGCAGGCCAAGGCGTCCTCGGCAGTCGGGGCCCAGGTGCTTGCTGGTGCCTCTGGCTAGACATCTTCCCAGTGAGCCTGTGAAGGAGGAAAGCCGAGCAGAGGTCGCCCGCGGTGGACGTGCGTCGTATCTGAGCCGGTGTCCGTGCAACGGCCAGAGGCGTCTTTGCCGCGGAGCCCGGGTCTGAGATGTCCCCACCCCCCTTCAGGCTTCCAAAGACCTCGGACGCCCTCGCACCCACACCTCCTGCGGGTGACCGCGCCGGGGGCAGAGAGGAGTGTTTTTAAGCGTCTTCCCTTTGCTTTTGTCCCCAGGGCAGGAAGATCCCAACAGTCTGCGCCATAAATACAACTTCATCGCCGACGTGGTGGAGAAGATCGCCCCTGCCGTGGTCCACATCGAGCTGTTCCGCAAGTAAGGAGGGTTCCCCTTGCCCTCCAGCCCCCAGAGCCCCGACCGGTGCCTGCTGCGGTCAGCAGCCCGTCAGGGAAGAGAGCGTTTCTCCCTTAGGATGTTTCCCTGTTTGACTACTTATTTATTCATTTATTTATTATTATTACCTTTAAGTGAATGTCTTTTTAAAAAGTTTTTTTAAAAACATGGTATTATTGATTTTTTTTTTTTTTTTTTA